GGAAACCCAAGGAGGGGTCACTATGAGTCGGGGCTGACTCCACGGCACATAACAACAACAACAACAACATAGTGGTAGCCGGGGCAGGAGTGACGCTCCACAATTTCTATGGTCAAAGGCAGCAGGCTGGCAGTGGCATTTCTTAGAAGCTTCATCTGTACAGCAAACACTCCGTCTTCACGTACTTTTTTTTCCCCAAAAATTGCTAAATCCCCCCAATTCCTCTTTTCCGGAGACACCTTGGAAGTAAGAAGCAAGTGATTCTGACCAAGGAAGGGTCGCAAAGGCTCCAGAAGGCTCCTCGGGAAGGCCTCAGAGGCACTTCTCAAAGGGAGCATGGAGGAGGTGGAGACAGGCGGCCCCAACAAGGGCACGCACGGCGCTGCTAACAGCATTCGAAGCGCTAAGAGGCAACCTGGGGCAGGCACAGCGCAGCAGGAGGTCGAGCAACAGTCGCCGGTCTTGGAGCGCTGTCTGTGACGAAAGCGTATTCTCTCGTCAGGACCAAATGGCTCGAAACATTCTCGTGCTTAGAAATTCACCTTCTGACAAAACCACCTGTGAAACCGCCACGGCTCCACACTTTGGCCTGAGATTTTGAGGAAGCTTTATGAAGAAAGGAGTGATATGTCCATGCCATTACCAGTTGCCGCTGAGGACAGAACTCCTTTTGCTCCACAGCCACACCCGGATAACTCCCCGAACCGCGCGCCCATAGTGTGCGCGTGCGCGGACCGCCCGCGCGCCTGCGCTGCGCAAGCGCCGTGGCCACTTCCGGAATCTGTCAGCAGCTCCATCCCGGCCTCCGGCCTCCGCCCGCGCCCGCCGGAGCCTGTTCGCGTCGACTGACCAGAGTCCGCGAATTATCCGCTCCGAGCCCGTCCGGATTGCCCCGATCCCAGGTAAGCCGCAGCGGGCGAGCTTCCGGTGCTGGTGGCCACCCCTGCGCGGGCCTCGCGCCCGCCTGAAGCTCGCGGGGGCGGTTAGGTGGGTGCTTAGGCCACGGGGCTCCGATGCTAAGAGTCAGGCCGGGCCTCCAGCCCGGGGCCTCCTGATGGGGCGAGGGTCCCCGTTCTCCAGGGTCCCCCCGAGCCTTTGGGGTTCCCACATGCACAGAACGATTTTCAAGATTTCCGAGCTCCAGGACGCCTCCAAATGCAAGAATTAACAGCTGCTTCTCCTGCACGCCCTATTTGCATCTCGACTATGGGCCTTTGTCGCTGTAAAATTGGGAGAAATGGGATAAGCTCGTCTTAATGGGGTGTTCCAAACCCGTTGCTGTCGAGGCGACTCATAGCGACCCTATAGGACAAAGTAGAACTGTCCCATCTGGTTTCCAGGGCTGTCATGGGCACCGACCTTTTGGTTCACGGTTGAGCGCTTTAAGCACTGCGACACCAGGCCTCCTATATGAAGCGTAGCAAAGATCACTGGTTTCTTTCTCTAGCGTCTAGAATGGGTTACTGCACGCTGTAGACACCAGTGTCACCTGTCTAGGGCAGCCCTCAAGCTTTCAGTTATTGGGGGACCCTTCTGAGCTCAGGAAAAATCTGCCCCACCACCCAGATCTTTAAGATTCTTCCCCTCCAGTTTGACGTCTCGTAAAGTCACAATTGCACCCTCCTCCAAGCTCCTGTTACAGATTTACTCTCCACTTGAAGGGTGGTAATTCAAACCTACCCCCAGTGGCACTGGGGAAGAAAGACCTGGCAATCTCATTCCCTAAAGATTACAGCCAAGAAAATGCTGTGGAGCAGTCCTCCCCTGTAACCCATGGAGTTGCCATGAGTTAGAATCTGGGACACCCTGTCTTTTTTTTTGGTTTCTGCACTCCCACTGTATCTCATGCATGGGGTCATGATGGGTCCGAATCGGCTTGAGGGCACAAAACAAAAACAACACTTGCTTAGTGGAACCTTTATGTAGTACGTTTCACATTCCAACCATCCCATTGGACCACCAAAGTTCTAAACCTGGCACCACCATTTTGTTTATTGGGTGACCTTTGGAACGTTGAAGAGAACTATAGCTACCAATTCTTAGGACTTTTTCTGAGGATCAAATGAGCTTCTTTGTGTAAGTTGCTTAGCTTTTTGCTCCAGGTCCAGAATAGGCGCTCACTCAGTATCTGCTGTTATTACTGCTCCTGGGCATCCTGTGCATATTTATCTTTCCACCAGGCTTAAGGACCAGAAAGATGCCAGATTTTGTGTGTGTCTGGCCCCAACCCAATACCTACTACGCCTCTGGGAATGTGATTTGTTGGTAGATACAGTGGAGAAAGCCTGACTCATGGTGACCTCGTGCACATCTGTGGTGCCACCCCCTTGATCGGCTGCTGATCCAAATGTTGTGCCCATAAGGTTTTCAATGACAGACTTTGGAAGTAGATCACACCTTTCTTTTCAGTCTGTCTTACTTGGAGGCTGCAGTGAAACCTGTCCGGCATCATAGCGAGGCACTTAATGGACCATAGCTGAGAATCTTTGATTCTAAAGCCATCTGCTCTCATACTATGGCTTTGGAACCTGAAGGAGATGATAACCTACTTCTACTCATTGCCTCAATTTCCTAAATTATCTGGCTTCTTCTCTCCTTAATCAGTTTTGTGTGTCCTTTTGGTTTTAAGTGGTTGTTGTTAGTTGCCAGAGTCAATTCTGATTCATGGTGAACCCACGTGTGCAACGTGCAACTGCTCCACAGAGTTTTCAAGAATGTGATGTTTGCAAAGCAGATTGCCGGACGCCTTGGGGTTGGGTTTGAAGCACCAGCCTTTTGGCTACTAGTCAGGTGCTTAAACATTTGTGCCACCAAGCTTGCTGTGAGGGTTTTAAGTATCTTTAAAAACAAAGGAGCCCTGGTGGCACGATGTTTAAGCATTTGGCAGCTAACTGAAAGGTTGAACGCATCCAGTGTGGAAGAAAAGACCTGGCCGTCTGTTCCTGTAAAGATGACAGCCTAGAAAACCCTATGGGGCTATTCTGCTCTGTCACGTGGAGTAGCTGTCGGTTGGAATCAACTCAATTGCACCCAACAAGAACAACAAAAACGAAGGCGAGGATAGTAGACAGGATGGTGTTTTGACCCCATTAAGGATAAGGTTTGACTGTTTGGCCACTCCTACCACACTCAGGGACCCTCTGGGGTTAATTCATCTCCTACTCATAATTAAAGGAGGAGATCATTTCAGAAAATTAAAACTCCTGCTTTGGAGGGGGTGTGGCAATGGCAGTGTTTTGATCCATTTGTCTGATACTGTGCTGACAGGGTGGTTCTGATAAAAGAAGTTTAAACTGGTCTGCTGGTGAGGCGGTGCCTGGAATTAAAGTTCAACACTGCCAACACTGGGGAGGGTGGGGTGACCTGGTGGGAGTGCCTGGTGTTGCTGGGTTGGGCAATGAGAGCAATTAGAAGCAGCATGAATCACAGTCTTGAAGACTGACCCTAAACCCAACCCACTGCCATCTAATTAATTTCAACTCCTAGCAAGCATGTAGGTTGGAATAGAACTGCCCCATACGGTTTCAAGGCTATAAATCTTTTCAGAAGCAGCCTGCCTCATCTTTCTCCCACACAGCAGCTGGTGGGTTCACACTGGTGACCTTTTGGTTGGCAACTGAGAGCTTTAACCACTGTGCCACTAGGTGTCCTTGACCCTAAACCAGAAACTGAATATCCCAGTGGTATGAATACTCTAGTGGAGTTTAAAGCTTATATAAACGTTTCAAAATTCAGAGGCTACTAAATGAGCTCTGGTGGCATAGTGCTTAAGGCACTTGACTGCTAACCAGAAGGCTGGCGGTTCAAACCCATCAGCCACTCCTCGGAAGGAAGACTGGGCAATCTACTTCTGTAGAGGTACTGCCTTGGAAACCCAAGGATGGGTCGCTGTGAGTTGGAACTGACTCGACGGCAGTGCGTTTGGTTTTTTTTTGGTTTACTAGGGGTGGTGGGTCAAATAAAGGGAAAGAACTACCTTATTGAGCATCTGTTTCGGGCTAGACTCTGTACTGCTTGCTTTCACGTATGTGTCTCATTTAATCCTACCAACAGCCTTGTGATGTCAGTGGAGTTTTCATTTTACAGATGAAAAAACTTAGATCAAGTTGTTTTTTAGTCACTTGCCCAGGGTCACACAGCTATTTTGTGTTGAAACCGGGGTTCAAACCAGGTACCTTAAGCTCCAGAGCCCATGGCTAACCAGACATCAGAATGCCTCTGTACTCACTGTGAAGGGAAAAGAAGGGATTGAAGGGAAAAGAAGGGGTTGAAGGGAAATCTCAGGACTCTTACAATGCCATAAAGAGTTTGTATTTTCCGCCGTGCTGGTCAGTGAAAAGGTGATCAGTAAAATGTGTTGTAATTAATGCCACCAGCTTTTTATCTGTCTCTGGTTTTGTCTAGCCCCCTAAAGCAAAGATTTTCAGAGTTCATGTAGATGTTAACTATAGTTTGGGAATTATAATTCCAGTTATCTATTCCTTGGTATAAAATTCAGGCTATTTGCACCCAATGAAAGAGCCCCAGAATACATAAATCAAACTTTTGGAATTGAAAAACAAAATAGACAACTCCATGATAATAGTGTTGTTGTTGTTATATGCCGTCGAGTTGGCCCTGACTCAGCAACCCCTCCTTGGGTTTCCGATGCAGTATCACTACGGAAGTAGGATTGCCCAACCTTCCTTCCGAGGAGTGGCTGGTGGGTTTGAACCACCAGCCTTCTGGTTAGCAGTCAAGTGCCTTAGGCACTATGCTACCAGAGCTCCTATGATAATAGTAGGAAACTCTAATACACCACTTTAGATGAAGGTGTATGAAAGAACTAGAAGGAAAGAAAGAAACTCAACAAAGATACACTATATGTGAACAATGCAATCAGCCAACTTGGCCTCATAGATGTATACAGAACACTCCACCAAACAACAACACAGTAAATTCCTTGAATGAAACGAAAAGGAAAGTACAGCATGCCAAAATCTTTGGGACACAGCAAAAGTAGCGCTCAGAGGACAATTTATAGCAATTAAAGTGCACATCCAAAAAAAAAAGTTCAGGCTATTATTGAGAGTAGATTTCTTCTGCATTTACTGAGTTTGGTGAATACAAGCTTACTCTACTGGATACATTATAAATTTGACCAACATGAGTGTTATCTTAGTCTACAGACTTAAAATAGCCATATGATTCTGAAAGGAGTACAGGTCTGAGAGTATGTCCAAATATGGAACTTGAATGATGTAACAAAATAAGAAATGCAATTTTAGAAGTAATTACGCCATCGTGCGGCTACTTCAGCAGGCTGTACTACATTGCTTGTGAAGCTGAGTTGAAGAATGGGAAAGCAGTTGTCTACAGCTGCTGTTTTCACTGTACAGGAACTATGTGCCTGTATTGCATGTAAATATTCACAGTAAATTATTAATTTGCAGACCGATTTTGTTTCGATTAATGAATGAACTTTTTACAGGCTATAAGACATGGATTTTAAACTAAATTTGTTTAAATTAAAGAGCTATTTGTGACACTGCATGTTATTTTGAGTGTTTAGTGTGGTCAAGTCAATTTAGATTCACAGCGACCCCGCGTGTTACAGAGTAGAACTGCCCTGCAGGGTTTTATTGGCTGTAATCTTTACAGAAGCTCATTGCCAGGTCCTTCTCCCATGAAGCTGCTGGGTAGCAATGAGTAAAGCCTGTTGTGACTGAACAGGTTGGGTAACCATCTGATCCCAGAGCTAAAGAGAGAATCATGCAGTGAGCATCCAGAAGTTATGTTTCAAAAAACAGATGAAGCAGGCTCACTTGAATTTGTTAAAAATTTTTGTTGTTTAAAAAAAAAAAAAATTTGTTTTTTAAATTTTTGTTGTTGTTTCCAATTAGAGGTTTTATCTTTATTTTTGAGTTGCAATTTGCTTTCTAGAACATGTAAAAGAAAAAAACACTAATGACCTAAACATCTTTACTCTTAGAACGTGAAACACTGATGTTTCTCTGCCTCTTCAAGAGACCACCTGTTTTATTTCAGGGTGCACGTGTCTGGTTGAGCTTTGCCTTCCCTTGTAGCAGTCATCAGGGGCATTCTGCTTTGCCCGCTGAACTTCCCTGTTCCCCTCCCACCTTTCTGGTGACCCTTCCATTAGCTTCCTGTTTGCATCAGAATTCTTCTCGGACTTCAGTCTCCATCCTAGGCTAGCGAGATTTGTTTTTAAGGACACTGAAACCTCAGATTATAGTCATAGTGCCTCTTTGGTAATGATGATAGAGGGATGGGTGGAGGGGCTGGTTGCTTTTTTACATCTGAAAATCTCTCCCGTTTCAGATAATAAGAGGCCCTGGTGGTGCAGTGGTTAAGCACTCAGCTGCTACCCAGAAGGTCAGAGGTTCAGACCCAGCAGCAGCTCCCACTCTGCAGGGGGAGAAGGACCTGGAGATCTGCCCCCCCCCCCCCGGAAGGTGATGGCCTAAGAGACCCAGCGGGGCAGCTCTCCTCTGCTGCACAGGGTCACCGTGAGTCAGGATCCAGTCTTTGGCACACAACACATTTCAGATAATGGTTACTTCTTCAGTGGCTCCAGATTTGGGTACCCGTAAACTAGAGACTTTGATTTGATTTTTAATCTGATGGTGTTTGGTAGATTCCTGCTTTTCACATAGTTACAGTTGAAAAGGTGGGGTAGTAACATAACAAACACCAGCACACGTTTCACTAGGTGTTACCATTTGGCCACATTGGTCTTTATGTACCTGCTTTTTATTCTGAATGATTGACAGTAAGTTATAGAAGACATTGTGATGTTTCTAGACATGTCACCATCTTTATCTCCTGAGACCCAGGACGTCCTAACTAACTGCAATCCCCATCTCCTACCTGAGAAAATGACAATGGTGCCATGTTGTCTGTGATGTGTAGTCCAGATTCAGATTCCTCCTTGTACAGAAAATGTGTTTTATGGCTATTGTTCAAAATACAGATTCAGTCAACTTAAATGTTGGTCCGCTGTCATTTTAAATGCTCTGTTCCATTGCTCATTGCAGCTTTCCGCCCTTTGAAAACACTAAGAATAATGTCCCTGCATCAGTTTTTACTAGAGCCAATCACCTGCCATGCCTGGAACAGGGATCGAACTCGTAAGTATGCTGTTTATTTTGTTCTCTTTTGTGGCACCTTTGGCATATTTTAAGGAGCTCTGGTGGCTTAGTGGGTAAAGCATTTGGCTGCTATCCCAAAGGTCAATGGTTCAGACCCAACAGCCACTCCACGGGAGAAAGATGAGGTGATCTGCCTCTATAAAGATTGACAGGCCTGGAAATTCTATGGGGGCAGTTCTGCTCTGTCTTGTAGGGTCGCTATGAGTTGGAATTGACTCAGTGGCAGTGGGTTTTGGTATATTTTACAATTAAGCCCTTTTAGGAGTGACGTATTTCAGTGTCATAGCTCAGCAGTCTATAAATCAACAGATTCAGGATGGAGCGAGGTCAGTTCTTCAGTTTACAGGTAGAGAAACTGAGGCAGAGTGATGGGAAGATGTTTCTATCGGTTATTATCACAGCTGTTGCCAGCATGCACCTCTTCTGGCTCCTTGTCCAGTTCTTTTTCTACAGAACCACTTGGAGGACAGTTGATTTCAGAGAAATCTTTCATTGCTCAATGATGCACTGTCTTGAGTTGTTAGGTGCTGTCAAGTCATCGACTCACAGCTACCCTGTGTACAGCAGAACGCAACACTGCTCAGTCCTGAGCCACCCTCATACTCCTTGCTGTGCTCGAGCCCACCTTGAGCAGTTGTATGGCAACATCTTTCTCCTCCAGCGTTGAGTCAGAATGCAAGGTCTGAAAACGAGCGTCCGGCCTGCGGCCTACCCCTGAAGCGCCTGGAGTACTTTGTCCTTTGTCGAGATTGTGTTCGCTCCTCCAGAAGCTTGTCCATTTCTGCAGAGAAACCAGCTGGGATTGTGTTGTTGGGTTTTGGTGGTTTTTTTAAGGAGTAGTTCAGTTATGGCTCAATTTTATTTTCAAATTGTCTTTGGTACATGAGCAAAGTACTCTTTGGTTTACTGTTGGGTGAAGTGGAGACCTAGGTCTGAGCCTCTCTGTCAGCTTTTGAGCTCTGTCACTCAGCAGGACTGTGAGATTAGAGCTTGTGTGAGATCATCCTACAGTGTCATTGCTGCGTTTCCTGTATCTTCTGTCTCTACTTTTCCATCTAAAAATAGGCCTTTGGGGTATTTTCCAGTTCTTTTTCATAGATAGGGTACATGTTATCACAGTCCTCATTTAAAACTACTTGATAAATCCAATGTACTAAGTCAATTTTTGGCCTCATTACAATTTGAAATCTTAATATGCATCTTAGAAATTTAGAGAAATGTGTAACTAATTTCTAAAAAGAACTTCAAGTCCACAGGGAAGAGGTAAGTATGGGGAGAAAGTGGGAAGAGAGCTGTTACATTGTGGGGAATTGCAGTCAATGTCATGAAACGAAATGTGTGTGAAATACTGTATGAAAAATGAATTTGCTTTGTAAACTTTCACCCAATCACAATAAAAATTAAATAAGAAAGAGAACTTACAGTCTTAGGCATTTAGAGCTAGGTATTTATCTATAGCTACAGTTTCAACTGTAAAACAGATGCGGCTTTCTTAAGAAGGGCTGAAAAAGTAAATACATAGATGGAACTATTAAATGATTGGCCCCAAGTTTGGGTTGTAGATTTTAAGAAATTAATGTTGCTTAAAGTAGAATTATTAATTTGAGTTAGAAAACAATTTCTGTATTCATATTATATATGAATTCTTAATATTTTGGATTCATTGAGGAAATCTCTGTCTTAAAAGCACTTTTTTGTTCTGATCCATATTGGCTTTCCTGTGAAGGAGAACTTAGATGCATTTTATCAGCAGTCAGGTTTTCCTGATAAAGTACTGATTGCCAACCTGGGTCCATGACAGAAGTAGTGGGAGTCAGTGAGCTCTTCCTAACACTTCAGAAAGTCTATCAGAAATTAAATATTTGTCTCTAATAATGTTGCAGAGGTCAACTAAAGTGTCCCATTCCATCAAGTCCATTCGGACTCAGGTGACCCCTGTGTGTCAGAGTAGAACTGTCCTCCTGAGGGTTCTCTGGGACTGATTTTCTGGAAGTACATTACTGGACCTACCTTCTGAGGTGCCTCTGAATGGACTTGAACCACCAGCCTTGAGGTTAGCAGCCAAGTACATTAACCATTCACAGCACCCTTGGCCTCCCATATATGTTTACCGCGGGATAAAATTATATCAGCTCCGACTCAACGGCACGTAACAACAACAAACGTACTGACATTGTTTATTTCTCTCTAGTTAGAATCTTTTATTGACAATTGTGTATGTCTCTGGGGAAAATGAATATTTCAATTTAGTTTGGCTATGAAACATTTTTAAATACAGGGTCCAAGTGGAGGTAAAATTAACAAGAGGAATTCTTGAGGAGTGAATATAGGGAACTACGTTGTCAGCACCATTTTCTTATTCCTTCCGTCAGTCTGTTCTTAAAACACCAACTGTAAGAGATCTCCTTTTGGGGGAGAGTTTCAAGTTCATGTGTTAACTGTTTTGTTGACTTCTTCCTCCAGAGATTGCCCTGAGCCCCAATAATCATGAAGTCCACATCTATAAGAAGAACGGGAGCCAGTGGGTGAAGGCTCATGAACTCAAGGAACACAATGGACACATCACAGGTAACGACAGCAGTGAGCTCAGTAGGATCTTTAGTCCACTCTTTTTGGTTTCAATAACGAGTGGTGGCATTCTAAGGCCAGAAGGCACGTTGGCAGAGGGATTTGAGGAAAACAGGCTCGACCTCATGGAAAACAGGTCATGGGAAACAGTAGGCATGAAAAGAGAAACCGTGTCCCGGGTGCTGGTTCAGCAAGTAAGTCTGCCGTAATAGTAAAGTCGTGCAGCGTTGACTGTGTTAACTTTAGAGAATTGGAGAGACTCATAATCATGATCTCAGTCTTTTACACTGGTACCCACCACTCTGCTAGTGTTATGGAAAACACCGTCCCTCCATCTGAGCTTAGATTAGGAGATGAGACGTGAATGTGAAAACTAGACATCATGACAGCTGAGTGAAAATGTGAGCCAGACTGTTGACAAGTGCTGAGGGAACACAGTGCCTTCCAGAAGTTTCACTGTGGTGGTTTTTTGGGAAGGAAGACGTTTCGAGATAGAGGAGAGGACAAAGAGTAACTTGTTGTTGTTTTTGATGTTGTTGTTATGTGCCGTCGAGTCAGACCCGACTCATAGTGACCACTTAGGTGCCCATACTCCCACCCCCCAGAATTAATGAGGACTGATCTTTTTCCCCTGTGCCAGGAGGTAGAAGAAACAGAATGTTACAGATGATGGAAATGTTCCTCCTCACCACCAGTCGTGTTCTCTCCCTCCTCCCTCCCCAGAAGGCAGTCTGATTTGGTCTGACATTATCCTAGTTCATTTTTAATATTTTTACATACGTGCCGTGGTTGCATAATGGTTAAGCTCTTGGCTGCTGACTGAAGGTTAGTGGTTCAAACCCACCCAGAGGCACCCATAAAGACCCGACAATCTGCTTCCGTAAACATTGTAGCCCCAAAAACCCTATGGGGCAATTCTACTCTATCACATGGGGTCTCTGGAGTTGAAATCAACTCGACAGCAACCAGTATGTGTGTGAGAACAATCTTTAGGACTATTGACTGATATTTTAATGTCACATATGTACATGCCAGGGAGCTCTCGTGGCATAGTGCCTAAGGCATTTGACTGCTAACCAGGAGGCTGGCAGTTCAAACCCATCAGCCACTCCTCGGAAGGAAGGTTGGGAGATCTACTTCCAAATGATACTGCCTCGGAAACCCAAGGACGGGTCACTATGAGTCAGGTCCTACTCAACGGCACATAACGACAACAAACAATATGTACATGCACCTTCTGCAACTTGCTTTTGCTTCCAGCATTGTGTCTGCAAGCTCTTCATGTTGGTGTGTCTGCATGAGTTTTAGTCGTTTGGTGTACTGTGTGGCATTTCATACCCCATTTTTTATCTTTCCTCCTCTGGAGGACTTTTAGGTGGTTTCTACTTTTTCCTGCATTACAGTGGGCTGCTGAGTTGAGTGTCCCCGTATAGATCTCTTTGTACCCCTGTGTGAATGTATGTGTAGGTGGGCTTGCCCGAAACACAGGTCTAGGGATAGCTTCAGCCTTGCCTGGTTGTCTTTGTTCTTGCAGCCATGATGGTATACCCACTTTCCTGGGTCCCACACATACTTGATAAGGCCACACTGTTTCATTTTTGCCTGTGTGATGTGTGATGTGGTATCTCTGTAAGTTGCATTTTCCTGAGTAATAACCTGAACATATTTATGTAGGTTTATTAGCCATTTGGATTTGTTCTTGTGACTTTCCTGTTCATACACTTCTGACCATTTTTCCATTGAATATTTGTCTTTCCTTGTTGGGCTATAGAAGGATAGATCTTAAAGCATGTGGCTCTGAGGCACGTTCCTTAGTGTACAGTAACTTTGGTCTTGGACGACAACTGCCGATAGATGGAGCTGGCAAGCAGAGCAGTGCTAAGTTTTTTTAAGCAAATGTCAGATGAAAAAGAAAGAGTAAGAGGTGAGAATGGAGCACTTTTCCCAGTGGTTTTCAGAACTGGGTGAATGGAATTTCAAGAGAGCTCATTGCTTCATAAAGTATGTCTGGTTGTTCCTTTAAGCCCCATATCACCTTTTGATCTGTTCAGAAGGAACTTTTGTTCTTTGATCCTTGTACTGTAGTTCCTTTTTAATTCTATTTTCTGGCAGAATTGACTCAACCACTTGCTTTGAACACTTTGGCCGAGCACATCAAAACTTACTCTCTATAAATAACTTCAAAGACAAGTTTTTCCAGGCGGTCGTGGGCTTCCCCTCTCTTGACAGTGACATTTACATTTAAGTGGGCAGCAAAGGAAATTCTCAGATGATTTGTTGGTGGTGTTGTTTTGGAGTCTAGAATTTTGCCGCTGATCCCGTAAAATTCTCAAGAATTTAAAAAGATGTCCTTCCCCCAAATCCAGACCAACTTACCACATTTCGGCCTAAGTACCTCACCGGGTCGTCTTTACAGGCCCCAGCAGACACTCATCATCGGCCCTTCTCGCTTTTACCAGCGCTGTGTGTGTCCTGCCGGTGAGCACTGGAGCCAAGCGTGTCACCGCACCAGCACCAGGGACACAGTTTTTTTTGGTTTCTTTTTTTTGTGACTGTTGCTTTCTGTCTGCTCAAGCCTGTTTTCCTCAAGTCCCTTTGCCAGCGTGTCTTAAGGCCTTAGACTGCAATCACTCCTGCTTTAAATTGGAATTTTAACATTAGGAAATACTTTTAAATGAGGAAAGACCAGGGTGAAAGACCAAAGAAATAGCCAACAATGTGAAATATTTATTAGAACTTCTTTCTCCCCACTCACACTCTCTTTTGCAGTCCTTTGTACTTGGACCTATTTTCTGTCTGAGTGCTCAAAAAACTTTTTTTTTTTTTTTTTACATTTGAAGAAATTTTTCTTGCAAGATTCTAAATATAACTCTGTGTCAGGAGACCAAGGGTCAGACATATATCCTCAGAAAAGATGGTTGACTCCAGGGGAAGAAATCACCTTGTGAAGCTTTCTAGAGGAAAAGACCAGTCATTACTACCAAAAAAAGGAGTTTGACAGGCATCCAGGTGATGCCATAGTTCGGGGGGGTTTCTGTGAGCTTATTCTTTCATGTTAAACGTTTCACTGCTACCCTCTTTTTTAAAAGAAAAAGTTCATGATGGAAATTTTAAACACAACAGTGTAGTGAACACCTACATTCCCATTACTCAGATTTAACACTTACCAGCTCACAGCTAATCCTGTTCTTTTCCACTCATTTACCTCTTCTTGTACTCTTTTGAAGCATATCCCAGACATTTTTATATTGCAGTTTATATTCTAAAAGAGAAGAGCTTTTTATACAGATTTTACTAATTTTGTTGAGAATGTACATAGCAGAATGTACCCTGATTCAGTAGTTACTACATAACAGTTCATTGACATTGATGACATCCTTTGAGTTGGGCACCATTCCCACCCTCCTTTTCTGAGTTGTTCTTCTCCCTTAATCTAAGCTCGTTGCACTAAGTTTCCTACCTAATCTTTCAGGTCAGCTGGGTCCCATATAGATAAACCTTGAAAGACCGCAGTGCCCAAGACAGACATTGTTTACTAGTTAAGACAAACTATTGTTGCAGTTTTGAGAAGACTTCAAGGGATTTACTTGGTGTAAGGTTTAAAGAGTATCTTAGAGCAGGTTTAAGGGTTCATCCAGCCTGCATGCCTCCCGAAAGTCTGCATTCCATGGGAATTTGAAATTCTGTTCTGCATTTGCCCTCCCTTTGATCAGATTCATCTATAGAATCTTTGATCAAAATGTTCAGTCATGGTAGCCAGGCACCATCCAGTTCTGGTCTCGTGGCAAAGGAGGCAGCTGTTCATGGAGGCAATTAGCCACCCATTCTGTATCCTCCTCCTGTCCCTGACTCCTCCTCTGTGGCTCCAGGCAAACAGACCAATTATTGTGCCTTGCATGCAGCTGGCAAGCTTTTAAGACCCCAGGCGCTATGCAGCAAACAAGGCAGTGGAACAGAAGCACTAAACATGTCATTAGGGCCAGTGAACTGGGATGTCCCATGAAACCATGACCCTATACCACTGAACCAGGGAACCAAACCCCATGAGGGATAAGCAGCCTCAGCAGCTACTCTGTTATGTGGGTTTTATTTTTTTTTTTTTTCATCATTGTTGTAAATGTATCTGTCACAAATTTTGCCAGTTCAGCTTTGTACAGGTGTAGAATGTGTTGACAGCAGTTGCAATAATTGGCTATGCAACCCTACCCTTTACCAATGCAGTTTTTCCATCACAAGAACTTTTATGTCTGTGTGTGTGTGTATATGTATGTATGTGTTTAATTCTTATTGTGGTAAATGTATATGAAACAAAATGTGTGACATAAGTTCCACCGTTGTGATTAGTTGATACATCACTTGCCTTTTTTGAGGTATTTGTGGGCTCATTTGAAGAGATGCCATAGGCTCCAGAGTCGAGGCGGCTGTAATCTTTACGGAGCTCACTTGCCAGGCCTGACTCTCCCGCGGTGCCGCTGGGTGTGTTCAAACAGCAGCTTTGGGTTACCAGCCAAGTGCAGACCGTCTGCACCATCCAGAACCTTCCGCTTGCCTTTTGTTTGTTTGTCTTAAATAGGTTCTTTTTCTTCTCTTTTGCAATTTATTTAAGAAAACTGAGCAATCAGGTGATTTGACCTGTAGCATTCAGAGCCTAGATTTTATGGATTGCAAAGCCCATGGTGCTATTTCATGCATTCCTTGTGAATGGCTGGTTGAGTTTAGATGGTAGCAGACTCTTTCACAATGGTTAAGTGCTTGGTTGGTAACTGAAAGGTTGTCGGTTGTAATCCACCATCCGCTCTGTGGGAGAAAGATGTGGCAGTCTGCTTCCATAAAGATGACAGCCTCGGTAACCCCTCGTGTTCCGTTGTAGACCTGCTCCATAGATTTTCCTTGGGTGAAACCTCTCAGGCTTTTTTCCATGTCACAGCTGGGTAGGTTTGAACTGCCAACCTGAACTCAGCCCAGTGGCTTAACTTTCAGGCAAGCAATATCAGGTGCACAACAACACTAGAGACGTATGAACTCCTTAACACGGTTGGCCATACGAAATCAAAAGAGCAGTTTTTGCACAGAGCTAAAACTCAGAAGGCAGGGAATGTTAGGAGACGAGGACAAACAGAAATGGGAAACAGAGGATGTGGGAAGGGTGATGATACGCTGTACCGATTGCAGTTAGTGCCACAGAACAGAACACGTCTGAATTGTTTACTGGAAAAACGATTTGCACTGTAAACTTTCATTCAAATCACAATTAAAAGGTAAAAACAGAATAAAGAGAAAAAAGATTACAGCTTTGGAAACCCTATGGGGCAGTCCTGCTCTGTCCTATAGGGTCGCTATGAGTTGGAATAGACGGCAACAGGTTTTTAGGTTCTTTCATCGCAAAAGAGAAGCTTATCCTCACCTGCAGGGTGGTTACTGAGATGCTGACACAGGAAAGCGAGGAGAGATGCTTTTCTGCTAAGTCTCCTGATGGCAGGAAAACAGAAAGAGAGGAAAAAGAGGCAAAGCTAAATTTTAGTGAGAGATGAGAATCTGGCCTCTTACTGAATGTTTTGTCTTCTCATCTCTTTTTCACAATTAACGTTTAGCAAGAGTTGGAGCTCTGGTAGCGTAGTGGCTAAGGCACTTGACTGCTAACCAGAAGGCTGGCGGTTCAAGCCCACTAGCCACTCCTCGGAAGGAAGGTTGGGCAATCCTACTTCCGTAGTGATACTGCCTCAGAAACCCAAGGAGGGGTCGCTATGAGTCAAGGCTGACTCGACGGCACATAACAACAACAACAACAACAAAAGTTAATGTCATCTAAAATAATTGAGGCAGTGACCATGGTTTTACAACTTCCGGTTTCAAATGTGTGGATATTGCTTTTGTAGTTAAAACTAGAAATCTATAAAGAGGAAAGAAAGAAGTTAAGGGAGCTGCATACTCGATGCTTCTAGGAACTTGTGGGGGTGCAGAGAACGTCCCTGCTTAGTTCTGTGTCTTCTTTAGTGACAACACTGCTTTTAAAACAGCTGTGTTCCACCTGCCATCATAGAGGACCCAGCGTCCTTCACGTGAGATGTTGCTCAGGGCCAGAGGTGGGGAGGGGTGGGACTGGGGAGCAAAGTGCCAGACCCCTGGTCCCCCATGCCAGTGCCCGCCTGCCTGTGCCACAGACAGTCTCACGACTGGGCGAAGAAGCTGACGCTGCACCTCCTCTGCAGGCATCGACTGGGCGCCCAAGAGCGACCGCATCGTCACCTGTGGGGCAGACCGCAACGCCTACGTCTGGAGTCAGAAGGATGGTGTCTGGAAGCCCACCCTGGTGATCCTGAGAATTAATCGGGCAGCCACGTTTGTGAAGTGGTCCCCCCTAGAGAACAAGTTTGCTGTGGGAAGTGGAGCACGGCTCATTTCTGTCTGTTACTTTGAGTCCGAAAATGACTGGTAAGCAGCGTCGGGATGTTTTCTCGCTCTCGCTCTGCAGGCCCCCGTTAGGACTGCTGTGTCTAGGCCTAGGCCAGGGGGACTTCCTGGGGTGCCACGGGAGGCTTCCGTGTTTCCTCATCCAGAGATTTGTCTTCCTCTGAATGCCTCCCTTCACTCGAGTTGAACCTTTTTCCTCCTCGTGTGCACAGTGAGCAGAGGCTCGCGTCTCTCGTTGTTACAGAGCAACTTTTCCGTGTTTTGACGCAGTGGTTTCTCATTCTAGGCGGCTCCAATGGCCCTTTTCTTGCTGTGGTACGTAACTTACAAACACAAAAGACTCTCAGTGTCCTGAGAAAGGATTTTGCCTCACTACATCCATCTCTCTAAAATATCTGTGATTCTTAGAGATAAAAATGTTATCCTTTCTTTAAAGTTCATTTGCTAATTAAATCTGTGTCTGGCTGTAACGTTTCACTTATTTAAATCATCGGGGTAAAAACTCACTGGAATCTTGAAGGTGTGAGCAGACTGTTGTGATTTTTATAAATCACTTATAGCCGAAGCAAGCGCCAGAGATTTATTTTTATGTCAAAATCACTATTTTCACTGTGCCTTGCTTGGATAGCAAGGCCCTGTTCCGCTTGGCCTGCCTTCAGCAAACACAGCCAGTATCCTTCCACATGGGTCTGTCATTTCATCCCGAATGGCCGTGTTTGTATCTCCCCTGAAAATAGCGGAGTACACTTTACTCTTGGCATCAGTCTCACCGTTTGCATTCTGCTGAAACAGCCAAAGGAGGGGATCAACTTGTTTCCTTTTATAATTTAGTAAAACTTCAGACATTTTTGTTCTTTGGAAAGAAAGTCAGAATTTACAAGAATGAACAATGAATTCACAACATCCATTCTGCTTTCAAGCATGTACAAATTAAGGCGAACACAGTGCTGCCTCCTGACAAGTGAGACTCGTCCGGAGCCCACGCTGTTGGAACGCCTGAGAACCAGACGCCATCAGTGGACGTTCCTGCAGGGCCATGTGTTCTCGGCTCTTGGTCCTGCAGTCGATGACTCATGTATGTGGGGCACTTTCCTCCTGGATAGGCTCCAGTCTCAGTGGTGGTTCGCCTTTTCATTCATTGGGAGATGGTTGAAAATGTAGGTACATTGGGTTTTACTATAGCCCAAGATGTTGTAATTGGGGCATGCTGTCTGTTGAGATGAGTTTCTCAGCTGTAGGACAGTATTTCATCCCTATGATATGTGTACAGATAGTCCCAGACTTACGACATATTCGAGTTACTACAAACCACGCTTGACAACCACCCTTTTTTGTTTTGTTTTGTGTTACATCTTACAAGAAGCAACAGGTACTCCATACAGTATTGCCACACGTAATTTGCTGATGTATTGTTTTCATGCTAACCCCAAGACAAAGACCAGATTTATAAACATACTGATAATAAAAGGCAATGATAATGAAAACTGAAGAACAGTGAGGGGTTCGACTGAGGTCAGAACCGACTTAGGACGTCCTGGTCGGAATGGAAGCCCAGTCGGGGCTGCCCGTGCTCCGGGACGGCCTCTCAGGAACCTGGGAAGCAGTCATGTGAGCTGCTCATTATGCCGTCTGCCATTCTTTCATTAAAGTGAGTGCCTTGTAGAGTAATTCAGAGCAGTATCTCAGACTGAACGTCTCAGAAAGCCTACTGCGAAAAAGATTCTATGAAATAACTTTGTGTTCAAGACAAGCTATTGGGCTCGATAGTGTTAGACTCAGATCTCTGGACTTGACTGGTGTTTAAACAGTAGTTTGGGGGCAGAAATTGAATTAGTTCAGCCAAAATACTGATTTTTTTTTAGTAGAGCTGAAGGATTAGCTAGAGGCTAATTCCCAACACGAGGTTCTGAACGTTTCTTAATTGTAATTTCTCTGGAAATGACTAACGATTTGTAGCTCCATGGAGACTTATAAAGGAGGCCGAGTTGTCTCAGACCAAACAGCACAAAGTGAACTAACGAATCACTGAGTATTATAATAGAAAGTCAGATGGCTTCAAACTTCAGTTTTTATCTCAAAGGCTATACTGTTGTAATCTGGAACCTCATGAGGCAATGCCAGAATTAATCTGTAAGTTCACTGATGGATGAGGAAACCCTGGTAGCTGGAAAGTTCTGAACCCACTGCTCTGGTGAGACTGTGAAAGCCTAAAGGACCTGGAGCCAAGGGCTGTTTCTGGTTCTCGTCCCTCTCTGTCCTTCAGAACTGCGCCGCCTCACTGGCGCCGGGGAAGAGCCACGCCAGCTGGTCTCACCGGCACACGTGTGGGTCATTTGGGAACTGTCGCTTGGCATGGAGATAAATTAAACTGGATTTTCTGCTCCCGTAGGTGGGTGAGCAAGCACATCAAGAAGCCGATCCGCTCCACGGTCCTCAGCCTGGACTGGCACCCCAACAACGTGCTCCTGGCAGCAGGCTCATGTGACTTCAAGTGCAGGTGGGAGCAGATGGCTTGGTGGGCAGACTGGAGCTGCTCACTGTCAGCCTTTCAACAGCTGTGTGGCAAGGTCCTTTTCTTCACGAGGTCCTGCACTGAGCGCTGGGAGAGCCTCAAAGGCGAAAGCCACTTGTGCTCTAGAAAGGCGCTAAGACAAAGGCCCGAGTCACTGAGGTGGAAGGAAGCAGACTTGGAGGTGTAGGAAGAGGGACTTGAAGTACGGGGTCTGGAAAGTGTCCTTAGCTGGAATGGTGCTGGTTTTGAGTAGGGGGTTAGTGTGCGTGTGTGTCCCCTCTCTCTCTCTCCCGCTCCCTCTCTCTCCCTCCCTCTCAACCACAGTAATATTTCTCACTTGATAGCCCAGGCAGCAGAGTGCCAATTCCAGGGTAAAGCTAAGATCGACAGAACTGCTGCTCCCTCTTGGGGACATCTTTGGTCTATCATCAGCGTGAGGCTGGAAGGGACACCGCCCCTTCGTGCAGAGCCTTAAGCGTCTTGCCTTGTGATGGCTTTGCAAAGCTCTCCTTTATCGGAAAGGCATCAGTCCCCTCCGCCAAAGGAGAGGCAAACAGATGAGGTTTCCTGTTGACTGGGGTGGGTTGGGGAATGGCACGCGTCTTTCTTCAATAGGCCAAGTGGAGAGTGTCCAGAAAACCTGCTAAGGACCACCCAAGGGTTAAAAAAAAAAAGAAAATGAGCAGAGGGGTTTGGCTACAGGATGGGGGCGTGGTGGAGTCAGGGCACTTCTTGGGAAAGAACTGATCCTTCTGAAAACCAAATTCCTCACTGGGCAACCATGGTAATGAAGTTAAACTCATGTGGAGAGATTGTAACAGTGGAGGCCCAGAGACCTCTGGCCTTCTCACACGGAGGGGTTGTGGTGTTTGTATACATTGCTCCAGCATTCCCGCTCCCTTGGGGGATGGGACTGGGTGGTGCCAGGCCACATCACCTGGGTTCTCTAGACATGTCTGAAAGCTGGTTGTGAATGTAACGTACACTTCCTTTGCCTGATGATTAATTTCAACACATGTACTTTTCTTTGACTCCTGGGCCTGGGGCTTTGGGTTTGTGCTGTGTGCACGCTGCAGGTCATGGCTGAGACCCGCCAGCTCTCTTGGCCTCTCACAGCTGAAGGCGCCATCCCAGCACTGCTGACTCAACGCACTGAGGCTCCTGCTCCGTGTCATCCAGCGCAGATTCTCTCACAATGTCCGTGGCCTCTCCAGTGCCCTGCCTCTTCCAGCAGAAATATTGTTATCTTTTAAAGAGGCCTTAGTTCAGATGTCTCTGAAGAAAAGAAGCTGCACGAAGTAGGAACCACTGTGCAGGGCCAGAGGCTGAAAGGCTGGCTCCCCACCTGTTCTCCTTCCCGCCTGCGGGTCCGCACGTCCACACACAGCTCCAGGGAATTAGGGAATTAGAAGGGCACACAGCACCTGGTCAGAACAGCCCCGCTTCATCTCAGACTGTACCTGCCACAAAGCCTCAGCAGTGTTCGGAGAGTCGGGGAAACCTAGCTCCACCCCTGACCTCACTAGGGAGGGCCGACCCACTCCTCCCCTCTGGTCCTTCCTCAGCTTCCTCTTTGACATCCCTTTCTTGCTTTGAATGGTTGGACCATTGGTTTGTTGTGGATGCCTTTGGTTTCCTTTCTCCCTGTTTCCTGGTATTGACTTCCTGGAGGACTGTGTTGCAAATGACAGTGAGGTAGGCAGGCAGGAGTGCTGTGATACAAGGTCCGACGTGAGCAAGGGAGGGTGAGGCAGCAGGGGTCCCCCCCTGGGTCCCTGAAGGAAGGGCTTTTGTGGCCACCACCCCAGGAACTGTGTCCCTAGAGCGGTGCCTGTCGCATAGTAGGAGCTTCAGGAACATCTCTTGTTGAAGTGGATTTGCCGCGCTTGGGTTGGCCAGGAGGTAGCCTCGAGACATTCTGTGTCTTCAGAGGTTTATGTATCTGAACTTTCCCATCATGCTTTGTTTCTACGTGTCAGTGTCCTTTAGTTCTGGGGTAACCCTAACGTTGCTGTCTGTGGTCCTTTTCTATGTATGCAGACACTCACGTACTTTTTCCTTCTCTCCCTGCCTCCTAATCTGTAGGGTGTTTTCTGCCTACATTAAAGAAGTGGATGAAAAGCCAGCCAGTACGCCATGGGGTAGCAAGATGCCTTTTGGTCAGCTGATGTCAGAGTTTGGTGGCAGTGGCACTGGTGGCTGGGTCCATGGGGTCAGCTTCTCCGCCAGCGGGAGCCGCCTGGCCTGGGTCAGCCACGACAGCACCGTGTCCGTGGCCGATGCCTCAAAAAACGTGCAGTGAGTACTTGCTCCCTGCTGGGGCAGCGGGGAGCCGGGGAGATGGGCTCTGCTCACCTGGGCTAAAGAGACTGCCCTCCTGCCCTGGGGAGGAGTCCAGGACGTGAGCGAAAAACCCAAAGCAGGCCTGCAGAGGCCACCTCTGAGGTGACAGTGACACATTTAAAGTGGTTGTTTGGGGGCACTTTAAAGAACTGGGGGCATTTTAAAGAGTTGGGTCTTGCTTCCAGAAGCCCTTCTTAATGGCAGGACTGCTTGTGATCCCTTTGAGAAGCCCACCTGGTTTGCTAAAGAGCCCTGCAGAGGGGCCGAGTCTTTGAGGCCATTCCTCACACACGGGAGCCCCAGCCTTTGTGGAGCGGCGTCTTCTCTCTGTGAGGGGCCCGTGAACAGTGCCTCATGAACTTGGACTTCCCTCGGTGAGGCTCGAAAGGATTTGGTGCCGTTCCTCAGGCACGTGCTAGGGCCAACAACACGTGTATGAGTGGACACTGCCTAGTCATACAGGAAGAACATTCACTATCCCATCAGCCATCAGACCTGGGCCAACTTTGGATTAGTGTGGGGAGCAGAAACACACTGAGGGTGGAGGGGTGTGAGAGCAGGGGCAGAGAGAAAGCGAAGAACTGAGGCCCCTTGGCGGTGAGTGGGCAGGCACTCTGCAGAGACCAAGCACAGGCCAGAGAGTACTGCCAGCCTCAGTGTCTGAAAGTGACCTCTGGGCATCCATGCTTAAGGTCCCTGAAGTACAGTCCATGGGCCACATTTGAAACACAAGTGCCCGTTTATATTGCCGAAGCCCCTGTAAGAATGGGTCCTTTGTTGTCTTGTGTGTCTGTGAAGAAGCCATGTGGTCTTTTTTGACCCTGGTTTAACAAATGTTCTTATGTCCAGGGTTGCAACTCTGAAGACAGAGTTCCTGCCACTCCTGAGTGTATCATTTGTCTCAGAGAATAGCATCGTGGCTGCTGTGAGTATTTCCAGTCATTTCTCCTCACAGACACCATATAGAACTCTCCAGAACAAGGACAATGCGTGCTCTGTGGCACCACCACAAAGCAGAACAGGCTTTTAGGAGAAACAAAAAGCTTTTGAGAGCAGGAGATGCCGTCGGGGGAGGTCTGTGAGGGGCTGGTAGGCGGGTGGCGTGTGCCCCGGGGCTGACTGGGGTCTTGTTCCAGGGCCACGACTGCTGCCCAATGCTCTTTAACTACGACGACCGTGGCTGCCTAACCTTCGTCTCCAAACTCGACATTCCAAAACAGAGCATCCAGCGCAACATGTCAGCTATGGAGCGCTTCCGCAACATGGACAAGAGGGCTACCACCGAGGACCGCAATACGGCCTTGGAGACGCTGCACCAGAATAGCATCACGTAGGTGCTGCGGGCCCCGGGGGCCCTTGGATGCCCTGTAGCCAGGGTCACTGAACTGCAGGGATGGTCAGGTGAACAAGCCACGCTTCTTCCCTCTCTGTTCCCTCTGGAAGCTGTCTGTGCCACAGGCCAGACGTCTCTGTAGGAAGGGGAACAGCGAGGAGCCTGCACCTTGCTGACTCGTCAGACGGACTCTCGTCTGCAGATGGCAGCGGTGACCCAGCCACCTGTCCTTCCGCCTTCACGGTGTGGATGGACAGTGCCCCAGTGAGGAGCGGCCATCCCCTTGCAGACTGAGGTGGTGGGGCCAGTGAGTGCAGCCTCTGCCTGGCATTCGCTTTCTCAGAAACGTTACTGAGAGGAGACCATCCTGAATGCCCTGTCTATCCCTCTGGTGATGACCACGTGACAGGAAGTATAGTTCTCTCCTGTGTGGAGAGCGAATTCTAGCTGTTGTCTTCCCGTGGACTCCCAGTAACGTAGAGCAGTGAGAAGAAGGGGAAAAAAAAAACTCACTGCCATAGAGTCAGACCCAACTCATAACAACCCCTCCTTGGTTTTCCGAAGCAGTATCTCTATGGAAGTAGATTGCCCAGTCTTCCTTCCAAGGAGTGGCTGGTGAGTTTGAACCGTCAGCTTTCTGGTTAGCAGTCAAATGCCTTAGGCACTACACCACCTGAGCACCATTTAATTAGAGAAACAAAACTTCTTAGCAGCTTTATGACAAAACTAAGAGTATCTTGACTTATGTCACCAAGCTTCTGTGATTATATAAGACAGTAGATTATGCTTTATCCAGAAGTTGGTTTCTTTTAAAAAATAATGAGGAGAAATGCAGTATATTTTTGATATTTGAAATTACTGTGCTCAGAGTAGGTACCACAGGACTTTGTCATTTTGACAAGCCCTTTTATGTTGAGAGATTTTTGTGGTGGTGATGGTGGGAGGGAGGATGGGAACCCTGAGACTTTCTCTTGGAAGGAACTGCTGAAGGTACATGCTGCTTTTCCTGCTGTTGGGTGGAAAGCACAGCAGGACTGGAAACGTGCGTGCTCTCACGCACGCCCCAACCCAGAGTAAATAAAATGCCCGTGCTCTGTTGAAGGGAGACTGTGAAGGCGTAACCAACCGCCCTTTTCTTCATAATCCTCGCATTTCTTTTATCTTGAATGACTTCCAAAGTTATTTCTTGAGAATTTCTCTTATGCTCCTATGCATACTGTGTATCAGGCAGGGAACTACTCTCACTGACTCTCTTTGAGACTTTTAAGTTAAAAATTAAAAGATAGATAGGTCAAAGGGGACTTAACTTCTGCTAATAAAAGTAGACATTCTACTTGACAAGGGTCAGCAAAGGTCTGGAAAGGTCTTCTGGAAGGGGGCAGAGGGTGAGCATTTTAGGCTTTGAGAGGCCATCTAGTCTTCAGTGCACCTGCCTCAGCTCAGCCACTGCAGCACAAAAACAGCCATAGACAATTCGTAAATGAGCCTGGCTGTGTTCTGGATAAAAGTTTATGGTCGCTGAAATCTGAATTTCGCATACTTTTCACTTGTCGTGAAATGGTATTCTTTAATTACGCCCCCCAGCACCATCATTTAAAGATCTCAGAACCAATCTTAGCTCACAGCTGTACAAAAACAAGACACAGTAAAGCCCAATCGTAAAATGGGCAAAGGACTTGGATAGACATTTCAGCAAGCAGGACATTCAGATGGCCACGAGACACGTGAACAGATGGTCAGCATCATTAGCCATCAGAGAATACTGCAAATCAAAGCCACAGTGACACCATTTCATTCCCATTAGGATGGTAAGATTTGGTGGAGGCGGGGGGGGGGGTGGAGAAAACAAGTAATTGGCAAGGATATGGGGAAATTGGAATCCTTACTCAATGCTGGTAGCAATGCAGAATGGTACAGCCATTGTGGAAAACAGTATGGCAGTTCCTCAAAAAACTAAAACTAGAGCTACCATATGGGCCAACAATTCTGCTCCTAGATGCATACCCAAAAGACTTGAAAGCAAAAACTCAGAGACTTGGACAACAGTGTTCACTGCAGCACTATTCACAAAGCCAAATGGTGAAAACAACTGAACTGCCCATCAGCAGATGAACGGATAAACAACATGTGGTCCATCCATACGATGGACTACTCCTCAGCCAGTAGGAGAAATGAAGTCTCCGGATGGAGCTGGAAGGTGTTATGATGAGTGAAATAAGTCAGTCCCAAAGGGACAAATATATGACCTCACTTGTATAAAAAGACAAGGAAAGGTAACTGTATAGAGAACAGTTTATTAGTGGTTCCTAGGGGCTGGAGGGAGGGGGGAAAGGGAGGAAATTAACAGTGATGAAGAGTACAGTTGCAAAGCCAATTATTATAGTTGCTATAAACACCTATAGGAAGTGAAACTGGCGAAAGTTGGGTGATGGGTCTATTTACAAGAAAAAGAGGAGCTGCTAAGGCTGCCTTTGTGTACCCCCAGACACCTGCTGGGAGTGAGTTCCTTGGTTTGGAACTAAACCGGGGGTCATGGTTTCCATGGTGCATCCCAGTTAATTAATAAACATGCTGAGCGCTTCTGTTCTAACTCCTAGTTTGTTGCATGGTGCCTGGGGTCTTAAAAGCTTGTGAGAAGCCATTGAAGGCACAATTGGTCTCTTACTCTTAGAGGAGTGAGAGTGGGAAGGCTATGGAGTGTGTGGGTCTTTACCTCCACGAACAGCAGCCTCCTTTGCCTTGAGACCAGAAATGGATGGTGCCCAGCTACCATCACTGGCCGTTTTGATCACAGATTCCATGGAAGAATCCTGGTCAGACACGGTGGGGCTAGGGGGGGACCAGAATACAATTTCAAATCCTCATGGAACCCAGACTTCCTAGAGCCATGAAGGTTGGATGAACCCCGAAACTGTTGCCCCAAGGTCATCTTTAAACCTTAAACCAAAACTATCCCCTGAAGTCTTCCTAAAACGAAGCAGTAGTTGAGCTTCACTAGGAAGGAATGTGGGCCGACTAGACTGCACGTAACAACAGGAAGGGATGTCTGCCTTGAGCACTGTGTTCTGTTAAGATCTCTCTGCCTGGGGTTGAATGGACAACAGTAAGCAAGGAAGGACCCTTAGGGGACAGGGAATGAATGTTAATGGGAGAGGGACAACTCAGAAAAGGAGGGAGAGTGTGTACACAACTCTAAGAGTGACATCAGTGTCACTAGATGGTATTTGTAGAGATTGTTGAATTGATTGATGTTTTGCTGTGTGTATTCTCAACAACAACAAAATACAATTATTTGAAAAACAGGCACTACCATGGATTGCCATCCCTGCCCTGAAGGAGTAAGTTCTAGGTATTTCGGAAGACAGGAAACTACTGGCTGAGCTCCGGAATCGGTTTTATTGAAAGTTTTCTGATAACCAAGCTAGGACGGGCGGTTTCGTTTACCCGTGCCTCTGCTTCGGTTGGTTGGCATCTTGTGGCATGTGTGTCTGACTGTTGCCAAGTCCTAATTCCTAATGTCACACACAGAGGGCCCTTGCACGGAAGTCCTGGCTGCCTTGGGGGTGATTGGGGAGGTTTTGTTGGGAGCCAGTGGGATCTCAGTCGGGCTTCCTCATGCCTCAGCTAAGAGAATTGTTTCCATTCTCCTCACTGCTGTCCCACCCATGCCCTGCGGCCCAGCCGTTGGTGTGCAGTGTGGTCTAGAGGTCACCGTAATTAATGCAGCTTCTTAACCTGTCCAGTTCCGTCTCCTTTCCTGGACATGCAGCAGTAAACGCGCTAGGACGTTTGCCGATGCTGCCTCAGTGGCTGGAACGCTGAACATCGGGAGTTGACAGATAAGCCATTAAGCTGTGGGTCAGGAGGACGAAAGCCCATGCCGCGCCTACCTCACCTGTCTTGTTTCTGCTTTCTTCAGTCAGGTGTCTATTTATGAGGCAGACAAGCAGGATTGCCGTAAATTCTGCACTACCGGCATCGACGGGGCCATGGCAATTTGGGATTTCAAGGTATTTTTTACCTTTCAAACAAGTCTGTCTATGTGAAAACTCTGCCTGTGAGGAAAATATTTCTCATTTCTCAAAACATCAGAAATACAGGGCATTTGACTCTCTAGTTCACCTTAAAACCTGAAAATCATTAGCAAGGGGAAGCCACCTTTTCTCAATGAGATGGAAACCGTATTCCTAGGTGTCCACTTACTCACTGAGGAAAAAGTTGAGCCTTTTTTTAGAAACAGGAGTTAAGTTGGGCACTATCGTACCTCATATAGCCACTTTTCCGGGTCACACTAATTTCATTAACATTCACTGACTGCCTGCCATGTGCCCGGCACACTAGACACGCAGGATACCAGGGTGAAGGAGACAAAATCCTTGCCCTCGAGTGCCTTGTCTGGTGAGGGACAGAGGTCAGCAGCTGGTACCGGGTAGGGACTTGGGTGGAACCCCAGAAGAGAAGGCAGGGCCTTCGTTTTGACTTTGAGGAAGTTGGGAGTGTCTTGGGGTGCTCTCGAGAGACAGAACCTGTGAGACACATAGAGATGCATTTGTAAGGAATTGGCTCACGGGATTGTGGGGGTTGGCAGGGCCAAAATCCACAGGTCAGGCCACGGGCTGGAGATGCTGGCAGCCTTGCAAGAGAAATTCCGACAAGATGTCTGTTCCTAGTCTGGAAGCAGAATGCGCCCTCAGAAAACCTCCCTTCTTGCCCTTAAAGCCTTCGAGTGATTGCATGAGACCCACCCACATTTTGGAGGGTGATTTGCTTTCCCTGAGACTAACTGATTTCGTCACTTGTAACTCCTTAACATCTCCATGTGGGACTGACCAAACCACTGGGCCCCACATGTTAACATATAACCTTCCCCCCGTGGCGGGGACTGCGTGGCGTGGCGGGGACTGCGTGGCGGAGGTTGGCCTGAGCTGCAGCTGCAGGGGGACTGCTGGTGGGGGAGGCGGGAGAAAACGGAGGAGCCCAGCCGGAGCTGCGAGTGGCATTCCCGCACTTGTCCTGGAGCCAGCGGTGTGGGTCCTCTGGAAGCGGGAGATGGAAGTAGAGAGAAGGGCCATGGCACGGCCCAGGGGAGGAGGCTGGCCTGGTGGCAGTCTCTGAGGAAGGGCCTCTCAGGAATTCGAGGAAATGGCACAGGGTGGAAGTGTGGGAAGCCCGGACTGGCAGGGGGAGTCCAGCAAAGAAGTAGTGAGGAGTGAATGCAGCCGTGGTAGAGGGCGTGGCCGGGAGGTTTGGACCAGAACCAGATTTAGGCCAAATGGAAGGGCATCGGGACCAGACCAAACAGGGTGCCGTCTCTTCCCGCCCCCCCCTGAGTGGCCAAGTAGGATTTTGCTCCCTTGTCTTCAGTGGCTGCTTTTCGTTCCGAGGGGGAGAGTGTAGATCGCCAGGCCTCTGCTCCTAGGCCCCACCGGGTGGACTAGAGCCAGCCCCCTCTCGGTTAGCAGCTGACTTGTGTTAAGCATTTGCACCATACAGGGGCCCAAAGGCATGGTGACAGTGGGGGCAAATCCATGAGGACTTGGCACTCTCCACCTTGGGGGGTTGTGTGGATACAAGGCACCAGAGAGGAGGGCCAGGGGCAGGCGTCACCAGTGCTGTCACCACCTGTGCGTTTCTGTGCTGGTGGCTGTTTTCGCACCTTGGGTCAAACGCACGGTCTGGTAAAGCAGGTCTTCCCACCTTCATGTGCTTTTCTGTCCTGGGCATCTCAGCTCCTGTGTAATCACCACCGCCTGCAGTCACGGCCCACAGCAGTACCAAGTCCTCCTCCCATGTCCCCAGCACCCTTTCATGTCCTTCCTCCTGCAGGCCTGGGTCCCGCCCTCTCCTTTTGCGCTGAGGCCCGTGTGTTCACTTCTCGAGTCAGCGTACCTCTGAGCACTGCTCTCTGGACCCCGCCCAGCTGGCTTCAGGGTCCCTGCCAGGTGTTCGGAGTGCAGTGAGCAGGGGACATGTGCAGAAGAGCAGTGGCCTAGAAAGGACGTGCTGCCCGCCCAAGGCCTGCAGGGGGACATGCCAGGAGCCCTAGGGACTGGGGCATGGACCGGGGCTCAGAGACCTGAAAGGGCTGGTCACAGAGGTGGAGCGGGCTCCTACGGGCTAGTGGTGGCACATTGTGCAGTGTGTGGGGAAAACGCTGGGGCGCGGGCAGTGGGTAGGCCGTCCTCAGTAGTCATCTGTGTCTTTCTGCCTTCTTCAAGACCTTAGAGTCCTCCATCCAGGGCCTTCGAATAATGTGAAGCTGAGCCACCCTCCGAGCTTGATCTGGCATGACAGAGCAGCCACTGCCTCCCGTCCGCCTCCAGGAAACACTGAAAACAGTAGCGTGTGGATACCGTGTGTGTACGTGTGTGGTTTTGTTTGAATATAATTGGTGAACGTGTTGGTTTTTTAACAGCAGTGATTTTTTTTTCTTTGTGGCTGTTTCATTCCATTCTTGACCAAAGCTTTTCTGTAAGTAGTTTATATTGAAAAATTATCACACTGACTTAAAGGAAGGGAGGAGGAAGGTATGTAAATTGTCTGCTAGAAAATTAAATAAAAAGACTGAATGTGTTTGTTTTGTTTTGTTACTATACTGTTTCTGTTTTGAATAGAAAAATAGGGGTAAATTATTGTAAACTTTATTACCAAGGAAACAAACTGTACATTTTTTCTTTAGAGAAAGTAGAATTCCTTATCTTCTTAGGTTCTTGAACTATACCCACACCTCTTACAGCCTTTGCAAGGAGCTCTGGTGGCATGGTGGGGAAGGTTGGCAGTTCAAACCCACCAGCCGCTCCATGGGAGAAAAATGAAGCAATCTACTTCCATAAAGATTTACAGCTTTGGAAACCCAATAAGGGGAGCTATGAGTCAGAATCGACTTGATGGTAGTGGGTTTATACAACCTTTGCAGTCCCTGGCTGGTGCAGATGGTTAAGGGCTTGGCTGCTAGCTGAAAGGTTCGAGGTTCACGTCCACCCAAAGACACTGCGGAAGAAAGGCCTGGTCTACTTCCAAAAACTCAGCCGTTGAAAACCCTGTGGAGCACAATTCTGGTCTGACACCCAGGGGCGCACCCTGAGTTGGAATCACCCCAGTGGCAGTTGGCTCTTACACTGAGAACCAAAAGAACCCTTTATTGGAGAATAGGAACCGTTTCTTGAATGCTGTCTGTTGGAATAAGGAGCTCTCGTGGCTCTGTTAGAATCACAGTGCTGCTGCAAAGTCAGCAAACTGTTGTCATTTTGCGCACAGGACACCACAGCCCCGCGCTGCACTGAGCACCGTGTCCCAGCGGGAGCCTGCTGCTGCCCTGCGTCCGCCTCGGCCCTGTGCCCACAGCAGGGGGAGCCGCTGTGATGGTGTACCGGCTAGGGCATCCTGCCAGGGAGCAGTGAGGGAGAAGCGGGTAGGTTGTGACGGCAGGGTTCCTAATCAGACACGAAGCTTGACACTCCAAGGCTGAGAGGCTGGAGGGTACAGACAAATACAAGTGGACAGTGAAATAAATACATGCAGGGTCTGTCCCACTGAGCCTGGCCCGGCTCTCGATCTCACTGGCATTGACCAGTTTGGCCAGAGCCCTAGCCGGACCACTGAGCGCGCACACTCCTGCTGGGTGAGTGTGGGCATGAGGTCCAGTCACCAGTGTTCAGCAGGTGGATGTCATTGGAGCAGATGGGAGATGACCTCTTTTGGACAGTATCTGGGGGAACTTTACCACAGACCTGAATTCCTCAACTTAACTGACACGTAGAGCCAGCTGTGTGACTTGGGGAGGTGCGCACCAGGGGTGCCTTCACCTTTGGAAGACTGGTCTGTGGGGGCAGGGCCTGGGATGTGGAAACATCTGCCTTCCAGGGCTGTGGCCACCTGTGTGTGTAGCTTGGGGACGGAGGCACTGGCTTTCCACTCTTCCACCTGCTCACTGTTCTCAGGTGGCAACTTCAGTGAACCAGAGCCATGGCCCCTGTTCTCAGGTAGGCACATGACTATTCTGGCCAGTGAGCTATGGGGGTGTCTGCTAGGGGCTCCCGGGAAAGGTGTACCTCCCTGGTCTCAGCTGCCTGGACCAGCATACTAATTCCTTGCAGCTGAAGGTCCTGGAGCTTGGCTTGTTTCGGGACCGGGAGGAAATAATGCCAGTGCCGTGAGGAGGAAGGAGCAGGAGGACCGAACTTGGTTGACCCGGAGACACTGCACCACCCTGGATTGTCTGGGAAGAGCCCTGGCAGCTCAGCAGCTAAAGCGCTCGACTGCTAACCCAAAACTGGGGTTGGAACCCACCAGCCACTCCATGGGAGAAAGATGAGGCAGTCAGTTTCTGTAAAGATTGGCAGCCTTGGAAACCCTATGGGGCAGTTCTATGTCCTAGAGGATCGGTATGAATGGGAATAAACTCAACAGCAGTGGTGGGACTGCGTGTTTCCGAGTCAGCCAGCACACTTTAGGTGTCATGGCTTCTTGAAACCTGAGAAGGCGGGAAAGCAGGGAGTGCATCATCTTTATCCCAGGCACCACGTGACACAGATTCTGGGAAGAATCAGCAAGTTGTCCAAGTCGTTCTGGGAACTCCAGATGACGTCCTTCCATGTCCAAGCCCCCCTTACCTCCCTCAATGGCAGGAGCTGCTTCACTTAAGGGTTTTAAGACTTGCCCCTTGGGGAAGCCACATCAAATAACACCCCCATCGCTTCCCAGTGTGAGGCTGGCTTTCCCTCCAGGGTCTTCCCACCATGACGACCAGCCTGTGAGGGGCTGTTGGTGCTTGCTAGACGTGAGCCTCGCTTTACAGGTGGGGAAACTGAGGCACTGCAAGAGGAGTGGCTTGCCTGAGGACACACTACTAGTTCAGTGGCAGAGCTGGGATTGGATTCAGTTTTCTGACACCATTTGTTCGTTCATTCATTGACCATTCAGTGGACATGTATTGAGTGCCTCCTGCACACCCGGCGCTGGGGAGAGAGGGATGAACAACATAAACAACCCACTTTGTGTTCGCATGGAGCTTGTGCGTCCTTTCCATCAAAGCGGGCTATCTCGGCTCACGTTCAGTCAGGAGACCGTGGTCCTCAGCTGTGTGTAGCATACTGGCTAAGGCACTTGACTGCTAACCAGAAGGCTGGCAGTTCAAACCCACCAGCCACTCCTCGGAAGGAAGGTTGGGCAATCCTACTTTCGTAGTGATACTGCCTCGGAAACCCAAGGAGGGGTCGCTATGAGTCAGTTTTGACTCGACGGCACATAACAACAACAACCAAAAACTCAAACCAGATTAAAAATAAAGTTGATGTGTGGCTCACATATTTGAGACCTAGGGTAGCAGGTTGGGCTTGAGCCTGGCCAGTCATTTCTCCTCTCCGTCATTGTCCCCACGCTTCCGCTCCTGTGCAGGGCTTTGTCTGGTGGCTTTTGCCAGACTGGCTTCCCAGACGGCTCTCCCATTTCGGGTTCAGATTCTCGCAGCTCACCCAGAAGACACACCCGGCTCAGAAGCCCTGCCCTGTGCTTTGATTGGGCCATCTTAGGTCACAAGGCCAGGAGCTGATTGGGTTAGGCTAGAGGTGGGGTTCAGTCCCAGCGGGGGAGCATCTTCTAGCTGGAAAGAGGTAGACAGAAAGCCAGGGAGCAACAACAATGTCACCTGCCCGCTTGGGGAGGAGGGTACCAGTACAGACCATTGGAAGCTGGTTAAACTAAATCCATCACCTGGCTTTGCCAAGGCTGCAAGGAAGGCAAGATGGGAGCCCTGAATAACAGCCCCTCAGCATCTCCTGGTGCCAGGAGGGCTCACAGTCGTAAAAAGCTAAGGTTTACTGAGCGCTTAATGCGTGGCACTGAGCAGTGCGGGGCATCAGCTGCTGCCTGAGATGGATCCCAGAGAGGGGGGCCTGACAGTTGCAAGAGCTGAGTTATCACCAATCTCTTCATGGCCACTGATAAGGCAGGGGGTGGAGATGGGAAGACCCCTGGGGACCACCTGACCCAAGACTAAATTCAGGTGCCTGCAAGGACAAGCCCCCTCACCTAACAAGGGAGTGAAGTGGCCCCGAGCACATTGCTGTGCAAGAAGCAGCTTGGAAATCAGAACCCACCGCTAGGGAGCTGGCGCGCATTCCGCCGGGCGCCACCACCCCGGTTAGTGGTGAGGCCATCTGACCGGGGAGGACGGCCACGCCTGAGGTACCAGCACCCGCACAGGGGTCAGCATGCAGAGAAGGGATGTCCCCTCGCGAGGCCGGGCGCCGAGGCGTGCCCACGCTCTCCAAGTTGCTCGGTCACCAGCGAGGGCGCAAAGAGCCCAGAGCCGCAGCTCTGGGGCGCCCTCGCCGTCCGCTCCGGGGCACTGGGGAGACGTGCCCTCTGCCCAGGTCTCCCACCTCTCCCCCAGGTTCCCGCCCTGCTGCTACTCAGGCTGCCTCCCTCTCGCCCAGCCTCAGTTTCCCCACTCGTAACAGGGAGCGGCGGTCGCGGACGACTCTGGTCGCCTCGGGCCCTGCACTCACCCCGCCCGGAGGGGTGGGCGGGGCCTGGATCTGGCCCCGCCCGGCCCCGCCCTGGGCCCCGCCCCTGCCCACGAGGAAGTGGCGGCGGCGGAGCGCGGGGCACAGAGCCGGCTCGGCGCGTCGACTGCCCAGAGTCCGCGGCCAGAGCGCCCGCAGGTGAGGGCGCGGCGACCCGGAAGGGAGCGGGCGAGGGGGGCGCCGCTGGAGGGAAGGGGACTGCGGGCAGCGGCGAGGCGCCCCCAGGAGGCGGGGAGGTGTCTCCTGGAGGCGAGGGGCGCCGGCGAGCGCCCCGAGGTGACGGGGCGCAGGGACCCCTGGAGAGGAAGGGGCCTCCTGGAAGGGAGGAGGCTAAGGGTCCCCGAGGAGGCGAGGGGGCGCGCGGCCGTCGCCTGGAGGGGAAGGGGGCTCAGAGCCAAGGAAGTGGGGCTCCGGGGAGCGCCCAGCGGTGACCGGGCGAAAGGGCTCCCGGAGAGGAGGGGCGCGAGGCCGAGGGCGCGCAGGGCTCCGGGACCCCCGACCCGGCCTGCCGCCTGGCCCCCCATTATTTGGGGCCGGGCGGGCCCACGCCCAGCCACTTCCCCTCCATCAAGCCTTCCGGGTCGCTCGGCCGGGAAATGAGCTGGCGCCCCCGCCCCGCCCGCGGTCCCCAGCCGCCTCCGCCCCCGAGGGGCCCCGCCGCGGGGTCGGGGCGCCCCGAGGGTCCCCGAACTGGCCCTTCGGGACGAATCGAGCGGTCACTCCCTTCTTGGGGCTGGG